TAATTGTGCTGAGCTGCGCAGGGTCTATGCTTCTGTCAGAGATCTGGTAGAGCCTGAAAAGCAGTGTGAGGGGCTGTGGTATTTTTAAAAAGGCACAAGTAATATGGGATGGAGAAAGTGGCAAGGTGGGAACTGGATCCCTGGGTGAATTGCCGGTATCTCACACAGCAGTGAGCTGGAAAGTAGCATGGGGTCTACTAAGATACCTACACATGGTGTGACACATTCTGCATCAACACAGGCACTCATGGTGAGAATGTGTAGCTCTGATGCAAGCACCTGCTCATCCATGTGCCTGAGCGGTAGACAAAAGTCAGCAGCTGTATGCTGACATAACTTGAGTCAACCAACCTTTGTAGCGTAGGCTTGGCCTGGATCCAAGTGAGCATTGAGCTGCTGGGCTGGGGGAGGAAGAGACAGGTGTAATCAACTGCCCCGATACCCTATCAGTAAGGGCAGTGTGGCAGTATCCTGGCAAGCAGTAATATAAGAGGGCTTCATTTGTTCTCTCATATTAGGGAATCTTTCAGCCGCTGTTTAACAGAATTTCCAGATTTATCTGATATCCCTCCTGCACAACTGTTACTAATCCTATTTACCAGTCCTGTTGTGACAGGTTTTCATTACCAATCTGCCTGAGGCCACAGTTGATCAGGCTGAGGCCACAGGATCTTTTTGGGGAGGAGATGACAAGGCACACCAAGTGTCTAAATTTTAAAGCTTTATTGATAAAATAATAAAATAACAGTCGAGAGTGCTAGGAACACTCCCATGTCACTCAGGGGAAGAAAGAAAGCATTAATGCCCAAGCCCTAACCCACTTTCATACTCACACCCGCACTACCCAGACTGGCCAAGTCTGGGTGTAATGTCAGAAGAAGGGGGGTGGGGGTGGGGGAAGGTGGATGGGAGTGCTGTCCTGGGCCCAGGCTGTCCAAGGATCTGCTGTGCTCTCTGAGTTGCTTCAGCTTTTGGGAGAGTATTAAGTCCTGGGCTCCTCGGGGGGGGGGGGGGGGGGTTTCTTTCAGGGAACTCTGCTCCTGGTGCTCTTTGTGCCAGTCCAAACCAGCTTTCTGTGGTCTCTTCAACTTTCCCCAAAACACACCGGTTTCAGGGCCATGAGACAGTTCTGTTTGTTCCTGGCTGGCCTTTGCCGTTTTGCTCCTTTTCCTAGCCCCTGCATTTTGTTCAGCAACTTTCCTTTCCTTTCTCACGGCTGGGCTGGGTGGGGGGAGGGGGTGAGGGGGGTTGGACTTCCCCCCTTCTGTCTTGGTAGGTAGCAGCTGGCCTTGGGCTGGAGTCAGCTTATCTTTGGACTGAGCTTGCTAGCTGCAGTGTTGAGTTAACCCGTTCTCTGCTTTCTTCCCCTTCCCCCCCCACCCGCCCCCCCGGTCTCGGCCTTTTGTACTCCTGCAAAGGAATCTTCCACTCTCCACTCACACACCTTTAACCCTCCCCAAAATGCTTTGTGATGATTGCAACAGCGTTAGCAATATGCAGTGCTGATCTACCTTCCCAGGGGACTCCCTAAGGGGAGGGGGCCATTGGGTTGTGACGTTGTCCACTTTGTTTTGCAGTATCTTATGCCCAGTACAGAAGGCTTAATGGTGGGATATTTTAACCCAGTACCCTGAAGCCCAGGAGGAAAAGATTCTACTTTGACGAATAGTAATAAGATTCCTGGAGGGGGATCAAATTTCTCTTGGATTAAATCTATGCTTAGGAACATGGCAAACTGGGAGGCTTCTATTTTAAGCTTAAAGTCCCAAAGAGATACAATGAGTTTCTGAGAAATGAAGTGGGAGAGCTTTTAATCTTGGGCATAATATTAGCAGAAAACTTAGCAACCTTGTTAAAGTCTAAAATCCATTTAAATTGTAAACAAAAGAAAAATGCAGCAGAACATGGACAAACGTATCTGAACAGGTAGGTAGGTGTGTGTGATGTGTTGCGCCTCACAGGAGCTACTATTTGTCTAGCATAATTAGTTTACATTTTTTTGAAAGGGCCAAATTCTGCCCTGCCTTGAAGTCAGTGGGGCTTTATGGTTTGTCAGGACATAATTTGGCCTAAATGCAGAATTAGAATATCTTTCTTATGACTGAAAAAATGTGTTCATATGCACAATATTTTATTTTCAGGATGCGTATCCTGTCGGCCTGCACTTCAGCCAGATTAATTATGCTGAGGGGTGTTTGTGAAAGTGAGGGGATAAAGCCAGGCATATTATGGCCAGCTGTTGTCCAACCTTTCCTGCATTGCTCTGCCAGTGAGGTCCTGGTCGAGGCGCACCACCCTCTCTCCCAAGGCCAGGGCTTCTGCAGAGCAGAGCCTGCAGTGGTTTTGACACCAATAAACACACTGGCCAAAATTTTCCAACTAACTAATAGGTTTTGGGTGGCCAATTTGAGACAACTTAAAGGAACTGTTTTAGAAGGTGGGTGCTCTGCACTTCTGGAAAATCTCAAGCCCTTTCAAGGTGTCTCAAGATGGGCACCCAAAAATAACTAGTCACCTTTTAAAATCTTGGCCAGTCACTGATGTGTGAGTGACTTTATCTGAGGTTTGAGCCTGTCTCTGTAGAAGTGAAAAATGAGTCTGCGTTAGAGAATGTCCCATGAAGCTTTTCCAACAGTTTTGTTTGCTGCCAGTATTCTACCCTTGCAGATGGCTAATGCATTATGGCCTAACGCAGTGAATGAAGTTAAGACAAATAAACCTGAAGAGCATATTGACTAATTGATTCTTCTGAATTATTTACCTTCCGTGCTGAATGACACCCTAATACAGATGCACACTCTAGAATCCACTGACAAATGTTATCTTTGTAGGTTTATCCTGGGCAGAGATTTGGGCATGGGTCTAGAGGGAAATAATGGAGATAAAATGAAGAAGAGTGCTTTGATCCAAATTAGTTTTAGGGTGGTGGTCAAATTTAAAGCCGAATCAGGGTTTAGATTTGCTGGGTCCAAAGTTTCGTAGGATTAGTTGCTGTTGTGAGATTCCTGCCATTGTGAGATGCAGTGTCACAGGAATGGCTTTCTCAAGTCATTCTGATTTGGAACCAAAATCGTAACTGAGAGAAATCTGGATCTGGCAATTGGGATCTGATTCTCTTCACCCTCCAGAAATTTAAAGAAGTTTGAGGGTCTGGTTTCAGCACGTCTCTAGAAAATAACTTCCAGAGCAAAAGACAAACCTGTTATGCCCATCAAATGTAGTGAGTTTATAATGCTTGAACATATCAATTTTAAAAGGAATGGGGTTTATTATGTCCCGTCCCATGAGAATGCCTTTGGAAAAGACACAGATTCAGCTACCCTCCCCAAAAAAGCTGTGCCACTCTGTGTGGGGGGGCGGGGGGGTTTGTAGACACCTGACCTAAAATAAGACCTGTTAACCATCTGCATGGAGCTGACTCCATATTCCCTATTGGTGAGAGTGACTCTCACAGGAAAACTAGTCAGAAATAAACCTTCATAAAACCGGCCCTGCGAGCCTGCCGCTCTTTCCTGTGGAGCTCGGTGTTGGAAGTAATTCAGCTCCAGACTTTATTTTTTCTTTGTGGATTTTGTTAACGTTTCTCCCCACATCCAGGTTAGTTTCCCTCATTGCCTTGCCCCAGAGAGGGCGGGTGCCCTGCCCTCCCCAGAGGCAGAATTTTCGGGGGTGTTTTTGAGTTTTTGCCAGACCAGTTCTTCTATGGCAGCTCTCTCTCACTTTCACCCACCCTTTGAGGATCTCTCCTGCCTAGTGGTGAAACAAACTGCCTCTCTAACATGACCATTCCCTGCCCCCTTCTCCTCTGCCCAGAGCACAGCCACATTAAATTGAGCTCTGTCTAGAGTCAGTCAGCACTGCTGTCTGATCATCCAGTGGGGTATAAATCTGCCAGCCATCTGCTTGGGATGGGGAGATCCTAGCTCTCTTAGGGGTAGAAAGTGGTGGTGGGCTGTTTGTTTTTTATTGGGGGGAGACTCTACTGCTTGATCAGTCTCGTCTCTTGATTTTTGGAGACTGCCTGCTGTAAACTGTGGGCATCTTCTAATTAATACCAGCCTGTCTTCATGCCGTTGTCATTGCACAGGATATGGTCACAAATTTTGCCACTCAAGTGCTGCACCAAAGCCGAGCCCAACTTCCCATTTCAGTTATAAGCCCGTCACAGCTTGACCCACGATCGTAAAGCTTACTGTCGTCCCAGTGCTGCACAAACCCTAACCAGCCCTTAAAAGACCCTTGTGTGTTATATTTTTTCATACATAGGGAAACTAAGGCCATGTCTACACTAGTGAGCCTACAGCGGCACACCTGTATTGAAGCAGCGGCGCGGCTGGAAGATGGTTTGTGTAGCTGCTCTGTGCCGACAGGAGAGAGCTCTCCCATCGACAATAAAACCACCTCCACGAGTGGCAGTAGCTGAGTCAGGGGGAGAAGGTCGGTCTCTGACATAGCACTGTGCACACTGCCGCTTAACCCAGCAACACTTGCATTGCTTGGGGAGGTGTGCTATTTGCACCCCTGAGCGACACAAGTTTTGCCGACATAAGTCCTAGGGTAGACATAGCTTAAGACTCTGATGCTAAGTGATTCCTCAAGCTCCCCAAAGAGTTAGCGACAGCCGTTATTAGATCTCAGAAGTTCCTGGCTCCAGCTGCATGTTTAGACTGCTAGGCTATGCTGTCTCACTGGAACTTGATACTAGAACAGCGTGAGACTGAGCCCCTCCTCTGATAGGGTGAACAGATGGGGAAAGCAGAAGATTCCAGAAGACTTCAGTTTTGTGTGTCATAATGAAGGCAAGACAGTAGCAGTATGTGGTGTAAGCCTACATTGCTCTTATGTTCGGTTGCCTCCATAATAATCTGTAACATCATAACAAAATAGGGTTTAAAGTAGTCTGCTGCATATGTCATGTGGCTTTGAGGTAATCCTTTTACTTCTCAGAGGATGCTCAAAGTGAGTCTGAATAATGGCAGGTTCTTCTTTCCTTTTCAAAGACACGATGCCTTCAGTTCCTCCAGAAGCAGAGATGGACAATGGTTCCTGCCCTCACTTCTCTGCTAAATGTGTGCTGAATGGAGGCCTGGAGAAGGAGCCTGGTAACATCAGTGAGGAGAGAAAGTGGATCCGACCTGACACCCCTAGCAAATGTACCTGGGAGCCGGGGAAACTCCCCTCTGAATCCCCTCATTATCACCCCACTTCGTAAGTGATACCTTTCTTTCCTTGTTGCCTTTCAGTGTTAACCAAGACTTTGTCCCCTCAGAGCACTGCACGGGTTTAACTAAAGGTGTGAATTTTTTTAGCTGTATTAGTTAAATTGGCATGATTTTGCATATGGACACTTTTGTATCCGATACCTGTAATTTACAGTTGCAAGCTCAATTAATATGTTTAAACCTAGCTTATGTTTTATAAAAGAGGCAAACTCCCATTGACTTTAATGGGGTCAAGAAGACATCTTTTGTGTTTGACAGTTCTTTTTGTTTTCTCGTATTTACACATTCACTTTCATCTTCCCTAAATGGCACTATTTAAACCTCCCTCCCAAAAAATGCAGGCAAGAAATGAATAAATTCACCAGGAATTTGGTCACACCTGCCTGTAATTGCAGCATTAATCTGTGCTCAACATTTCATAGATTCATACAGCCAGAAAGGAACATTAGATCATCTAGTTCAGTGGTTTTCAAACTTTTTTCATTTACAGACCCCTAAAAAAATTTCAAATGGAGGTGCACAGCCCTTTGGAAATCTTTGACTTAGTCTGCAGTCCCGAGGTTGAAAAACCACTGTTCTATGGTAACAATAACCTTTCTCAGACCCCTTAAACATAGTTTGCAGACCTCTAGGGGTCCATGGACGACTGGTTGAAAATCACTGATCTAGTCTGACTATTTCCGGTCTGCTTTTGTTGACCAACCATGGTTTGGAGCAGTCATGGCATTGATGGAGTTTATATGTGCATGCGCATATAGAAATGACTGACGCGTTCATTTTTCCTGGAAGGGCTGAAATTTATGTCAACCTACTTCAGATGGTGAGAGCATAGCAGGCTGTGGATCGCAGCTTTGTAGTTCTTGCCTTTGACCTCGGAATCATTCTTTATCTCCCTCCCCCTGTATATCTCTCCAGTGAATATGCTTTTTATTGTAGCCCATATCTGCTAGAAGGCGAAAATGTCTGAAATCTTATAAATTACCTCCCTGCTCCCCCTCATTACTAATTTGAGATGCAGAGAACTCCTTTTCACTTCTTTCCTTAAAATTAACAATACCCCTTCCAAGCTAAACGGCCTGTTCTTGATGTTTAATAAATAAGATTTCCAACTCTTCTAAACAAAGAACATTGCTAACAATGTACAAACATTCCCTTCACATTAACCTTTTTGCTTAAAGAAGCTGATGTGAAGCTGCATAAGCCAGAGGGCTTGTCTACACTGACAAGTTTCTTCGCAGTAAAGCAGCTTTTTGTGCTCAAACGGCAGATGTGTACACACTGCCAAGCCACTTTGTGCACAGAAACTCCTCAGTTGCAGCACGGCAAAAAAATCACCTCGTTGAGAGTCGTAAGGCTATTTGCACAGAGGCTCCAGCACTCTATTGCCAGTGTAGATGCTTAATTGCTTTCTGCGCTGTATTTGGCCTCCAGAGCTGTCCCATAATGCCTCAAGCGGACTGCCCTGGAGACAGGTGCCCCTCCCCTTTCAAAGCACCGTTTCTGACAGCCCTTGCGTGCTGTGCTGATCTGCTCCAGGACACAAAGTAAACCAATAATGTGGAATGCTCGTGCTGTTGAACACAGAGGGCTTGGCTACACTTGCGAGTTAGAGCACATTAAAGCAGCCCCAGGCGCCCTAGCTCACTACCCATCCACACTGACAAGGCACGTAGAGAGCTCTGACTCCAGGGCTAGAGTGCTCCTGGTACTCCACCTCAGCGAGAAGATTAACACTTGGTGCGCATTGGCTGAAACGCCTGGGCATCAGTGTGAATGAGTGTTGCATTACTGCGCTCTGATCAGCCTCCAGAAACGTCCCATAATCCCCTTAAGTCAAGTGGCCACTCTTGTCATTGTTTTGGAATCACTGCAGGAATGTGGATATGCCCTTTGAAAGCTCTGTTTCTGACAGCCGGCATGCTTATCTGCCTTGAGACAAAGCAACCATTACAGTAACTCCTCACTTAACGTTGTAGTTATGTTCCTGAAAAATGCAACTTTAAGTGAAACGATGTTAAGCAAATCAAATTTCCCCCATAAGAATTAATGTAAATGAGGGGGTTAGGTTCCAGGGAATTTTTTTTCACCAGATAAAAGACTATATTGTATACACACCTCTACCCCGATATAACGCTGTCCTCGGGAGCCAAGAAATCTTACCACGTTATAGGTGAAACCGCGTTATTATCAAACTTGCTTTGATCCGCCGGAGCCCCCCAAAAACCCACTCTCTCCCCCCACATACACACAACACACTCAGTCACACTCCACCCCACCCCCCTCATTTGAAAAGCACGTTGCAGCCAATTGCATGCTGGGATAGCTCCCACAATGCACTGCTCTCTGTGACTGTTGCAAGAGCTGTTAATGTGGCCATGCCAGTGCGCTTGCAGCTCAGTGTGGACAGATTGCAGCGCTTTCCCTACTGTGCTCTGCGAAGGCCGGTTTAACTCAAAGCGCTCTACATCTGCAAGTGTAGCCATGCCCAGAGGCAGGTGGGGTGTGTGTGTGTGTGTGTGAGAGAGAGTGATTGATTTGATGTGCAGAGAGCCTAGGGAGGGAGACGGGGCTGATGTCGGGGTTTCCTCCTCCCCCTGCCTCAGGACTGGTTGCTTCCTGCCACTGTCTGACCAAGACAGCGTGTTGACACACTCTCTGTCCCCCAAAACACTGTCTTCCCCCCTCCCTCCATACACACACACTCCATCACACACTCTGCCCCCCCACACCACTTCAGTTGAAAAGCAGCTGGCAATGTAGTAGGATGCCAATGGAACAATGGGATTGGGAAGCCTGCATCATGTGACGCTGTGCCTGCCCCATGAGGCATTGCAAACCATTCCCAAAGCACCCTGCGGCCAGTTGCACAGTGGGATAGCTACCACAATGCACTTCTGTCTTTGCCACTGCAAGAGCTGCTAATGTGGATGCGCTCCAGTGTCACAAGGAGCACAGTGTGGACACGCAACAGCAATTTAATTCCAGTGTTTTAATAAAAGTGGTATAATTTGTGGCACAGAAACTTGCCAGTGTAGACGTACCCAGAGTTAACTTATGCTAAGTAACCTATTAAGCAGTTGCCCTGATCAGGTGAATAATTAAATTAAGTGGTTGGTAATGATGACAATAAACTACATCAGCGTTTTTCAGTGTTTTCGGGTTGCGACCCAGTACTGGGTCGCGGCATGTCAGGCATTGGGTTCCTCTGGTCAGCACCACTGACCAGGACGTTAAAAGTCCCATCGGCAGTGCTACCCAGCTAAGGCAGGCTAGTTCCTACTTGTTTTGACACCGCGCCGCACCCCGGAAGCAGCCAGCAGTGGGTCTGGCTTCTAAGCAGGGGGGCCCCAGGGCTCTGTGCGCTGCCCCGCCCCGAGCACCGGCTCTGCACTCCAGATTGGGGGGGCGCCTCCGCTTAAGAACCAGACCTGCTGCTGGTTGCTTCCGGGGTGCAACACAGCCTGTGGTGCCAGGACTGGCAGGAAACCTGCCTTTGCACCCCGGCTGTGCCGCTGACCGGGAACCACCAGAGAGAAGTCTGTGCCCCAACCCCATGCCCCAATCCCCAGCCCTGAGCCCCCCCAAACCTTGAACCCCTTCCTGCACCCCAAACCCCTCATCCCTGGCCCCACTCCAGAGCCTGCACCTCCAGTCCAGAGCCCTGACCCCTTCCCAAACCCCTGCCCCAGCCCTGAGCCTCCCCAAACCCGGAGCCCTTCCTGCACCCCAAACCCCTCATCCCCAGCCCAGAGCCCTGACCACCTCCCACACCCCAACCCCCTGCCCCAGGCCAGAGCCCCCTCCCACACCCTGAACCCCTCATCCCTGGTCCCACCGCAGAGCCCTCACCCCCATACCCCAACCCTCTGTCCCAGCCCTGAGCCCCTCCTACACCCCAAACCCCTCATCCCCAGCTTCAACTAGGTCCCCAGAAAAAAAGTTTGAAAACCACTGAACTACGTGATGCGTGAGGTAAATGCATGTACCTTGTGCTATCCACACCATTTCACTGATGTCTGATTACTCCAAAAGTTTTGGATCAGGGTTTTGCTGTCTTAAAAAGTCCTTTCTGTTGTAAACTTCTGTATGTTTAAAAAGAACATCCAAGATAAGCACGTGACCTCCCAGTGTTACCGCCAAGAACTGATTGATGTGTCGGTGCATGTGTGCATTAGGTCAAAGTCTCCAAACATCCTGCCAAACATTCTGAAGAAAATCGGTGATACTCCTCTGGTACAAATCAACAAGATCGGAAAGTTCTTTGGACTCAAGTGTGAACTCTGTGAGTACCTGCTGCAGACAGAAGTTAGAGATGTATCTTCAGATGTTGTGGTAGAGGTGTATCTTCAGAAATCTGGATCACCCTATTTAACAGTGTTCATGAGAGCTGGTTGGGAAATGCTTTTTGTTCCTGTGAAGAGGTTGACAAAAATGAATGTTTTTCAGTTGCAAAAAGAAAAAGAAAATGCTTCAGTTTTTGGGTTTCTGTGTTTTGATTACCTCTACCTCCTCTTCCGCCCCCGCTCGTGCACATAAACAAACAAAAAGCAAACCACGCACGCTACACATCAAAAATGGACATTTTCCGATGACATTTCCCTTTTGATTAAAAAGCCATTTTTGGTCAAAAAAGTTTCAAATGAAACTTTCAACCAGCTCTCGGTGTTGCCGCTGGGCCCTTCGGAATGAGGCTGCAGAATAGTCCCCAAAGAGCAGTGCAAATGATGAAATGGTTGTAGCAACTGACTTTTTAGGAAAGATTTAAAAGAGCAGACTACAGTCTGCGTAGCTTAACTAAACAATGATTGCTGCATGGTAATAGTGTAAATGTACGTGGAGGGGATCCTCACAGAAGACAATTAAGAGATTCTGTTTACTGTTGTCCAAAGGGCTGAAACTTGGAGACATGCGATAAAATAAAAGCGTGGACTTCTTAACAGTTAGATCAAGCTCCCAAGAGGTGGAAAATTCAGTAGGGAACAATTGGCAAGGGAATGGCCATTTTAAAAAATTCCACCTGGTACTGGTAGAGCACCCTATCCTGTCCTCACTCCCCCTCTCCTGAGTTGAGCTACACATGGGCTTTTAATGCTCTCTGATCCTCTGCCCCGGTGTAACAAGCAGAGAAAAGAGGAAAAAAGGAGAGACCCACTGATTAAGACGAAACTCACATGGTGTGGAGCTGCTTGTTCCTGTGGCCAGCTGTGAAATGTGCCAAGAACTTTATCAAATTGGCCAAAGACACTGGAAATGCTGACTTCTCCACTGTACTGTGGGCTGCTTTTCCCTTTGTCTTGTTGGGAGGTGGGGGGTGTTTAACTGGGAAAAAATGATCTTAGCTGGAGTGGTTTTGGATCTCAGTAAGGAGTCAGAATTCCTCTGAATGCTGTAGTGCCTTTTTTTAACACACATTTGTTTGACTATTCTGTTTCCAGTGGCAAAGTGTGAGTACTTTAATGCTGGGGGGAGTGTGAAGGATCGAATTAGCCTGAGGATGGTGGAGGATGCAGAAAGAGCTGGGATTTTGAAACATGGGGACACGATCATTGAGCCAACATCAGGAAACACAGGTAGGAATTTCTAGGTCACAGTGAGATTGCTAAGCAACTGTGGGAATGTGGTCTGAAGGCTTCCATGGAACAGGTGGGAGAGGGGTTGGAGCAGAGACAGCTGCTCATTCAAAAGAGAAAATGCATCCTTGCCTGACAGGAGGAGAAAACCTCACAGAAGTTCTGCTCCCAGCTCAGGGTCCATCTGAGGAAGGAAAATATGATGCTTGATGCTGCTCAGGGACTACTGCTTACTTTTATGTATATAGAAGTTAGTATCTGAGCACCCCACAATTATTAGAGGACTTTGTTGTCCTCACTATCCCAACCTGACGTGGGTAAGTATTTTCTCCATTGTCCAGAGCAGATAAGTGACTTTCCAAAAGTCACATGAGGCTGAGCTGGGAATCAAACTCAGGTCTACTAAATGTCAGTCCAGCACCCTATCCACTAGACCATCTTTTGTACCCCTTACTCTGTAGGAATAGATCAGTAGTCCAGCATCCTGTCTCAGATAGTGGCTGATGCTGGATGCTTCAGAGGAAGGTATAATCTCCAAGTTATTCGGTGACTGAGAGGGGAGCAGACTAGTTGATGAGAGCAGTCTGGAATTCATTTTCAGCTTCTGCTCTGAAGCACAAGGATTGCTAGCTCTTGTACCTTTATTCTACAATCTTGTATCCAACTGAAACTGCAGAGAGGATGCGGGGGGGCAGGATGAATTGGCTCCTGGCCCATGAGTGGGGCTTGTAGACATTACTGTAACACATAATAGAGTACCCAAAGCTGGAATTTGCCCAGGACATCCATGGGTTGTGCTTGTGGAAAGAGCCATGTGCATCCAAGTGGTGAGGTGCTTAGCTGTACAATTTGCCCGAATGACTTCAGGTAGTACAGAGCATTATAGTGAGGCACCAGTTCTGCGGTGAACCTATTGACTAGCCAACACCACGTCCTGCAGCACGTAGCTGTTCTTCAGAGGTGTCCCATCGGAATGCTGACACAGCTGGACCCTACTTAGCTTGCAAGAGCTGCTGATAGCTCAGCACAAGTTAATTTCGTACAGCTCTGCGGCACAAGCAAGAGTGAGGTCTGGAAAGCAGGAAAAAGAATAGCTTTAAGGTTAGAGCCTTTGGTAGTCACATGACATCCTAGCAGAAACACTGGGTGACTATCTAGATACAGCTCTGTTTTCAGCACTCACCCTTTGAAGGCTGGAACTGCAGTCTGAATTCCACTTTTGAGACCTACGAGTTTGGATCTGTATTTTGCATGCCTCTGACTCCTTACCTGTGGTGACACGGCTGGCTGTAGCTGACACGGTGTTCTGTCACACTAACAGGACTGGGTCTCTTAAATCAGAATGTCCCTCTTGCCATGGGATCTATGGGGTAGAATGGCAGAGACCGTGAGGAATGTGTAGGGTAAAGGACTTCTCCTCCCTGTGAAGACTGTCTTGTTTTACTAAAGGTCATGAAGAATGGAGGCAAGGCCTAGGTAGGCAGCTGTGATGCTCCCCAGGGGTAACTAGGGTTTTGAGGCACATCACCACCACCTGTCCTAGAGTGAGGGAGTCTTGTCAGTGCCTGCTGTGGATCAGCTCCTGAAACCAGCAACCTGTGACAGCACAAGCACTGCCTTCCAGGCCTCTTCAGGCCTCTCACTGTCTGTTCCGGTAGAAATAGACACACACGAACTCCCAAGCCCTCTCCAAGCATTCCTTGTCGTATCCAGCCCCTTATCCCCTGAACACTCACAGAAATAGCAGGTCTAGAGGATTCAAGTGATAGTGAGTAAGGATACTGGAAATGAATGGTTACATATAAACCGAAATCATAGCACACTTTCTAGAGAGTAAACAGGTTAACCTCTGGTCTACAGAAGCTTATCTCACCCAGAGTCCTCTACAGCGTTTTCAGTCAAGCTTGGTTGAGACCCCTTTTTCAGAAAGCAAAAGTGCTGTCCTCTTACTTCCTCAGTGAAGGATGTCTGGGTGTTCCAGTTGCCCCCTTCCCAGATATACCCAAGTAAACCTTTGTTATGCACCTCCAGATAAGATTCTCTGCCTCTGCTGTGTTTCTCTTCCTGTTAGTTCTTTTTTACAATCCTTCCTTTGCATTCAGTTCTGACTGGTGATAGGGGAACCGTTGTGAACGAGACGATACTCAATTTATGTGAGACTAGACAGATCAGAGACATCTCCTGTTCGACAGAAAACCAGCTTTTCACCAGCCTTGATACAGACTTTAAGAACATATGTTCAGTATACATACATAACTCCTTACATAGTATCTGTACATGTATTTCACAGGGATATTTGTGACCAGTGTGACACCAACTTTCATTTGAGACCTGACATGACATTCTTTGGTGAACCAGAATGTACATCCCAGAATCAGGGTAACCTCCCTGCACCTCATTTCTGGTTGGCATCAAGAGGGTTCTTGGGTCACAGCAGCACAGGGAATTGCCGGTCACTCCTGGCCTCTGCCCATAGCTAATTTCTCTAAGAAGGGATAGGATTACTCCTCTCCCCTACACCGCACTTCCGCTGCACCTGGCTCCCTAGTTTGACATTTGCAGCACTTTCATGTTAATCTCTTAAGTGTAGGGTAATAGAGTTTGGGGTTTAGAATGTCTTTCTGGTTGTCAGTGTTGGTCAGATTTTACCTCAGTATCGGGCGTTAGTGAGACCATGGTTGGAATACAGTGTCCTGTTGTGGTGTCATCACTTCAGAATGGATGTTGACGAGCTGGTTGCGAATTTTTCAATGAAACGTATTTTCATCAGAAAACTGATTTCTCAAAACCAAACTTTTTTGAAGTGTATGTCTCAACAAAAATTCCTCAGAGAAACCCACCCCAGAATACCTAATGGCTACTGATTCAGAGTAGGGGCTTGAACCTGGATCTCCCACATCCCAGGCAAGTGTTCTAACCACCAGGCTCTCTGGCACAATGTATATTTAATTATTTATACAAGGTGGAACAGTTCCAACATGAGAGAGCAAGAAGACTTCCCCGGTGAGTGCTCTGACCACTGGGCAATTGGTTATTGTGAGGTGGCTCTTTTTAATGGAGCGGAAGGGGGTGGGGAATTCAAAGGGTCTCAGTTTTTTGCTCTGATATGGAAAGAAAACAAATTCCAAAACCTTGACGTTGTGCATGAAATGGAGTTGTAATTTTCTGGCCAGCCCTATCTGATACATTGGAAAGGGTTCAGAAGAGAGCTACAGGAAATGATTCAAGGACTGGAAAACATGCCTTAAGGTGAGAGAGAGAAAAACTAACAGGTTGAGCTTCATTTATCCAAGAGAAGGTTGAGAGGTGACTTGATAGCAGCCTTCAACTACCTGAAGGGGGCTTCCAAAGAGGATAGAGCTCGACTGTTCTCAGTGGTGGCATATGACAGAACAAGGAGCAATGGTCTCAAGTTGCAGTGGGGGAGGTCTCGGTTGGATATTAGGAAACACTGTTTCACTAGGAGGGTGGTGAAGCACTGGAATGGGTTACATAGGGAGGTGGTGGAATCTCCATCCTTAGAGGTTTTTAAGGCCCAGCTTGACAAAGCCTTGGCTGGGATGATTTACTTGGTGTGGGTCCTGCTTTGAGCAGGGGATTGGACTAGATGACCTCCTGAGGTCTCTTCCAACCCTAATAATCTATGATCCCAATCTACAAGTACCTACCTGAGGAAGAGATCTGTGAACAGATATTTAATTGAGCAGTCAAAGGCATAACAAGGTCCAGTGGTTGAAAGCTGAAACTAGATAAATTCAGCCTTGAAAAAAGGTGCAAATTTTTACCTTCTGTTAGAATTATCCTCACTTATGGGCTTGATGTAGAAATTATTGAGTGAGGTTCTACAGCCTGTGTTATGCAGGAGGTCAGACTAGATTATTTTAATGGTGCCTTCTGGCTTTAATCTATGAAATTCTATTCACTCCCAAACTACATCTGTAACATGTGGGCAGAGGTGGGGCAGAAGAAAAACTAGGCTGGGAAACCCAGCAACATGAACTTGCAAATTTCCCTGTCTTTGCTCGCCTTGTTGATGGCTCTGGTCTGGGGTTGAGCCAAATGGTGCCTTTAAAGCAGACCGTCCTGCTCTCCAATTATCTTGGAGATCAGCAACCTTTTCCTTTTTAGTCTCTGCAGTGATACCCCATTCAAGCCTGCAGAGAACAGCTCTTAAAACTGGGACATGCAGAAGCTACCACTGTGGTTTTGTTTCTCTTACAACATACTCTGTATTTCTCCGCTTCCAGGAATTGGGCTGGCCCTGGCTGCTGCAGTGAAAGGCTACCGCTGCATCATTGTGATGCCAGAGAAAATGAGCATGGAGAAGGTCAGAACTACTTGTATTGCCAATAATTAAAAATAAATTTGTCCAAATATGTTCAGATCCTAATGAGAGGAGGATGCCATCGTTTTGGCTGTGAAATTGGATAGTGAGGCACTGCAAACAAATTTACCATGTGTCAGATATTTTTAAATAATTGGTCAGAGTATATGTGTAAACTTGGAGGAGGGGGAAGGGCAGAGGGGGTTGCTGTCAATGTTGAAGGGGAATATTGGTAGGCCAGTCACAAAGCAAAAAGGCAGACGTTATAGAGGTGAAGCTGCCAGTAGCTGTAGCACCACTGAGTGTAGGAATTTTTAAAGTATTCATGTCAGTGACAAGAAAGACTTTAAGTGCGAGCAGAAAATTGAAGTGATACTTAATCTATGGAAAGACTGTCATTGAATGGAGGGTCTGAGAGAAGCCAGTGGAGACAGCTGAAGAACTGGATGCTTTAACATCATGTTCTATGTAGAGTGGTGAGACCGGAGAGAGGGTGCTACATTGCAGTGTATTGTTTCAGATTACACTGGTCTACAGTTTTTGAGACGTCTGCTTCAGAGATAAAATGTGCTATTTATTATGTATTTTGATGTGCTGAATTCAAATATGACAATTAAAATAACTGGCTACTGTTTCTAAGATATTTAAGTTTTTACATTTTATGTCTATGTATATTGTGTAGCTAGTAGAGTTTTAATCATAAATTGTAAACCTAGGTCTTTTCATGTGTTTATGGTTGCGTTACATGATATTTCACCTGTCCTGTTTATGTAACACTTTAAAAATCAGCAAAAGGGTTATATAAATAAAACTTATTATGAAACAAAAGGCAAAAAAACTATTCTGTACATAGTTTAGTCCTATTCAGTGTCTACTCGGCGCTTCTTGGCTTGTCTCTTGTATTCATTAAATGGAGCATCTTTTGTCACTGTCCAGCAATAGTCTGCAAGCATTGATGGGCTCCATTTGCCCTGATAGCGTTTCTCCATTGTTGCAATGTCCTGGTGAAATCGCTCGCCGTGCTCGTCGCTCACTGCTCCAAAGTTTGGTGGAAACAAATCTAGATGAGAGTGCAAAAAATGTATCTTTAGTGACATGTTGCAACCAAGGCTTTTGTATGCCTGTAGTTGTCTGTCTTGTTGTTTCCAAGAAAATTTATTGCCACTAACTGGAAGGCTTTCCATGCCGTCTTTTCCTTGCCACGCAGTGCATGGTCAAATGCATCATCTCGAAGAAGTTCACGAATCTGAGGACCAACAAAGACACCTTCCTTTATCTTAGCTTCACTTACCCTTGGAAATTTTCCACGGAGGTACTTGAAAGCTGCTTGTTTTGTCAATGGCCTTGACAAAGTTCTTCATCAGAGCCAACTTGATGTGTAAGGGTGGTAACAAAATCTTCCTTGATTCAACAAGTGGTGGATGCTGAACACTTTTCCTCCCAGGCTCCAGTGACTGTCGGAGTGGCCAGTCTTTCTTGATGTAGTGGGAATCTCTTGCACGACTATCCCATTCGCAGAGAAAACAGCAGTACTTTGTGTATCCAGTCTGCAGACCAAGCAAGAGAGCAACAACCTTCAAATCGCCACAAAGCTGCCACTGATGTTGGTCATAGTTTATGCACCTCAAAAGTTGTTTCATGTTGTCCTAGGTTTCCTTCATATGGACTGCATGACCAACTGGAATTGATGGCAAAACATTGCCATTATGCAGTAAAACAGCTTTAAGACTCGTCTTCGATGAATCAATGAACAGTCTCCACTCATCTGGATCGTGAACGATGTTGAGGGCTGCCATCACACCATCCATGTTGTTGCAGGCTACAAGATCACCTTCCATGAAGAAGAATGGGACAAGATCCTTTTGACGGTCACGGAACATGGAAACCCTAACATCACCTGCCAGGAGATTCCACTGCTGTAGTCTGGAGCCCAACAGCTCTGCCTTACTCTTGGGTAGTTCCAAATCCCTGACAAGGTCATTCAGTTCACCTTGTGTTATGAGGTGTGGTTCAGAGGAGGAGGATGGGAGAAAATGTGGGTCCTGACACATTGATGGTTCAGGACCAGAAGTTTCATCCTCTTCCTCTTCCTCGTCTGACTCAAGTGAGAATGATTCTGGTGCATCAGGAACCGGCAGTCCTTCTCCGTGGGGTACTGGACGTATAGCTGATGGAATGTTTGGATCATGCACAGTCCACTTTTTCTTCTTTGACACACCTTTCCCAACTGGAGGCACCATGCAGAAGTAACAATTGCTGGTATGATCTGTTGGCTCTCTCCAAATCATTGGCACTGCAAAAGGCATAGATTTCCTTTTCCTGTTCAACCACTGGCGAAGATTTGTTGCACAAGTGTTGCAGCATATGTGTGGGGCCCACCTCTTGTCCTGATCTCCAATTTTGCAGCCAAAATAAAGGTGAGAGGCTTTCTTAACCATAGTGGTTATACTGCGCTTTTGTAATGCAAAAGTCACTTCACCACAAACATAGCAGAAGTTATCTGCACTGTTCACACAAGTACGAGGCATCTCTGCTCACTTTGGCTAAACAGAAATGGGTCCCTTTGCAAAATCAAACACTGACAAATAAGAGAGCACGACACTGTATGATTTCTAGAGCTGATATAGGGCAATTTGTTCAGCAGAGTGATGTAAGCTTCGTTATGATTGCATCATCCATGACTTCTAGGAATAACATGATGCAATTCATATCATGTATGACGCAATACCAGCTTCAGATTGCATCATTCATTGTTTTGCCTAAAAAGCAAGTACTGTCCAAACCCAGTCATAGATTTATTCATAGATCCAGTCAAAGATGTATTTTAGTCATTTCTGGTTTAAATTGAGATCCCTTCCCTCTATAACTCACTTATCCTCTGCCATTCCCAAGTCAAGGGTCGTATATACTGACCCAATAGCATATCTTGAAAACTAGAGCCAATCAACAATTTTAAGCATCATTTTCGTTCTCAGTGACCCAGAATTAGTAAAGTTTGACTACATTTATTTCAGAAGCATTTTGGCTGTAGAGCAGTGTTACACAGTGGGAAATGATGGCAAGTGGCTACAAAGCAAATATGTTCTTTCCTCAGCTTAAGGAAATTTGGATCCATATGTGCTGAGGAAGCTTTAACGACAAAGGGGAATAGATCAATATGGAATCCTTCACTGTAGCAGCAGTGGAAAAAAATAAGTTTCTAGCCTTCATGACTTCAGTCTTGCTGCGCTTGATCCCAATCCTGCACCGCTCACTTGGGTAGAACTCCCACTGAAGTCAGAGGGAGGTTGGCCTGAGTAAGGATGGCGGGATCAAGCCTCTGCTCCTTTGATTTCAATTTTTAGGTATCCATTTGGAAGAGAAAATTCAGAGCAGCACATAACCTCGCCATGGGAATAAGATGATCTTGGTCTAGGTAGTTCCCTTACACCAGTGCTAGGCTGGATGGCAAAGAAAACAATGCTGAGTGTTCATGATTAAGCTCTAGGCACTATGCACAGGCTTCTTGGTGTGTTAATTTTTGTTCTTACAGCCTACATTTCACTCTTTGAACCAACAAGCATTAGGGCCCTCCTGTGTGGAGGCATCAGGTTATGCATTGACACAGCTGTTTTAAGAATTTTCCATTCCCAAGTCTTGGGTGTGTGAAATCTTCGCAGCTGTTGCGCCCAGGCAGGCCTAGGGGTACAAAACCACTACGTAGCCGGAAGAGGTACCTGAACATTACAACTGATACATTTAAATAGTGCCTTTCACACAGAGATCCCAAAGTGCCCAACCAACTTCACAGATGAGAACTGCTTTCCCCATTGTTATAATTCAGCCAACTCGAGGGCTTGAGATGGTGTAAGTAGCTTAAAATCTGCCTATATTTCCTATATTTTACAACAATCAAGAACAAGTGAAGAAAAAAATTTGGCCCACCTAAAACTACAGTAACTGTAGTAGAAGACAAAACTGAAGTGGAACTAAGCGAGGCCATTGGAACTAACATCACTACTCTTGACGAAAACGACATGAGATTTTTAATGACCACAAATGATTAGGACCTCTGTTTTCAATGTCCTCTGAAAAGACAGTGACTCCAGCAGGAGAGGTGCCCTCTGGTACTCTGCTGGCACATGAGCAAAGTTTGGACGTGAAAGGAAGAGTGCTACATGCTGAATTGCCCACACCACATCCTGCAGCACCTGGATCTGCCCTGGAGGCCTGTTGCTTAAACACTGACTACACCCAACCCTCCTTAGCTAATGACTTTTTCAAATGATCACACTTCTCGTGGTATGACTGCAAGCATAAGGGGATGCCTATGTTAAGGGTTCTACCACTTTGCTATCTAAGTGGAGGTGTACTGCATAATATGTTGAAATCACTGCACTTATTTTTAACATATTTATTATGGTGCTGTCTGTGAGCCAACCAAGAGTGGGTCCTAGTGCGCAAGGCACTGTACAAATCATTGGAAATAAAATGGTGGTTCTAGGCTATGGCACTGGGAGTCTTGGGTGTGTCTTTACTAGTCTGTAAGGTAGCTGGTGTGTACATGTTTTTAATACTTTGCACTGAGTAACACCTCACTACACACTCAATAAAGGTATGTAGAAATGTGAGAGTCCTAGATTCATACTCCAGACAAGCAGACTGTAGCCAAATGCTCCTTTCTTATTTGCCATTGAATGTTACGTTTTCAGGTCAAATCCATCATGTAGCTTTCAAAACATGAGTTGTGGGAATGGGACAGTGTTGCTTGGCCGTGTTGATAAGAATTATTTTAGCTCTGTAATTCCACCGGCAGAACTGATTAGATTTTGCGGGGAAGGGGGGATCTTCAACTAGGTTGAGCTGAAAATGCAGGTTACAAACTAGTGACAAATGTATGTCCTTGTAGGCAAACAACAATGATCATACGTTTCAGGCCACTAGACATTTAAAAAACCGAGACAGAGAGGACAGCGTTTAACCTGTATGGGGCATCTGTTCTGAAACACTTTGCTTCTGGGGATTGAATTGATACAGACTTTAAGCAGTGGGTATGGAAGAGATGCACACTCTTGTTTATATAAAGTTTTATAGTTGGTTTTTTTCATCCTCTGGCATACCAGTAGGGTCTCTGTGCCTATGGAGATTTTTGACTCTGTTTGATTCAGGTGGATATTCTGAGAGCTCTTGGTGCTGAGATTGTGAGGACCCCAACTACTGCCAGATTTGACTCGCCTGAATCTCATGTGGGAGTAGCATGGCAACTGAAAAATGAAATCCCCAATTCCCATATCCTAGACCAGGTAAGGTCCTGAACAACTGAGGTGCATATGTGGGATAGAGAGAAATATTGGTAATGTCCTTTTCCTGCACTCCACAGATAAGAGTAACAGCAGCCCTGGATTGAGGGTACGTGTAGATTGAACCTGGGATCTCTGGATCTAAAAGTATGAATTGCTGTTGCCTTACCAGGTTCCGTAGCTCAACAAAAGTAGCAGATCACAAATGTCTAAATGTGGCTGTGCCACTAGAGTGGCACAAAAAGCCCAGGGTGAACTGGCTTTTCAAATTGAAGCAATTTAAATCAACAATTTTAATCATGATTTAAATCAGCAAACCAGAAATACTGATTTAAATCCTTAGTTTGAATCTTGTTTTGTAGTTGTACTTTTTGGTTATTTTCCTAAAGAAAAATTGATTCTCACTAGTTGGTGGCCATTAAAATATGTTGGTTTACAATTAAATATAGCTTTTGCACTAAACTTGGGTCTTCTTTTTACTAACTAGGACAATATACTATAATTGCTTAATAATTGTGCATAACTTAACGTACTTTCAGATGCTTAATTTTTACATTTTGTTTATTATGTTATGGAATGATGCATTTCTTATTTACTAGATTAACTTTTACCTGTGATTTGTGTCGAGCTCTATTTGGATGGAAATTGGAATTGAATTAAAAATGTGCAAAATAGCATTTGTTTTGTTAGTTAAATAAAACTACTTTAAATGTGCTGGATACATAAGAAAAAATTGTAAAATATGGTTTGCATTTACAACTAACTGATTTTATTAAACAAGGGAAGTATCTGTAGTTAGTGAATTGAACTGATTGTTTCTGGTCACCATATCCCTCAAGATTTTAGAAGTAGTAAATCTCGTTTTCTCACACCTAGTTTTTATTCATTGATCAGAAGAGGAAAACAAACATTTCTGCTTTTTCAGCTCCAAGTCAGTTTCTCAACTTTAAATGAATTAGTCAGTGAACTGAACTAGTTGAATAAACTGAAATGAAGAAAATACTCTTGTACCCGTAGAAGAGGCCACTGCTATCAAAAGCTGATTTAGCACTTCAAACTCTGGTTTCTGGTGCTTGCCAAGTGACTTCCACTAGTTCAGTGGTTTGACTTTCTTTAAAACTTTGGCAGCAACCATATACTGCTTAATATTACATTTCTAATTTATTTCAAGTGATATTGATAATTATAGTAAGTTTAGGCCTTAACATAAGTTGTCATAATTTCAAATGTTTATTTAAAAAGAGAGATTTAATTTAAATCTGATTTTAAATAAAAATATACATAATTTTAATATATATCTATTCTTATCCACCCTGAAAGAACCACCCTGTGTTAGCATAGGTTACAGAAAGACCAAGGTAATGTTCTCTGCTAGGTTGGCAATTCTGCATATCGGAGTTGTAGAGAGTTCAAACTTCTACAGAAGATAATCCCACAGGCAGATTGCCCTTGGCTTTCAGGGATGTTGGGGACCTTAGCACAAAAATACCACTTGCTTTAATTGGAGCAGTTGCAGGAATCTCTTCCAGGCCAAGGTAGAAAGTATTGGTAAATGGCTGAACAATTTAGAAACTGGTGGGGCCTATAGTGTTGTTGTGGGGCTTGAACAAAACTGGTCCTTTTTTTTTTTTTGACCTGCTCCTCAGGATTTGATTTTGATGAGCTGTTTCCATGGTTCAATATGTTTTCCATTGTATTTCAATCTAGTACCGCAACGCCAGTAACCCCTTGGCACACTATGACACTACAGCAGAGGAGATCCTGCAGCAGTGTGAAGGTACGCTAATTCTTCTGCTAGCACTCTTTTGAATTAACCTCTGGAGTGCTCTTGTTTTAATCACATCCCCCTGTGGAAAGCAGATCAAGGCTCTCGGGGGTATAGAATTGCAGAGGCTCTGAGATAGTTTATGTAAAGTTTATGTAATTCAAATGAGACCCATCTAGTTAGAAGTGTGGGATTTTTAAAAAATATTTTTTTAAAAAACCTTTTGCTTTTACCTTTCTATGACTGTGACCGGCCAGGCAAAGTGATGACCCCTAGATAAAGAAGTCTGCATAGCTCAGAGGAGTCGAAGAGCTAGGGAGTTTGAGTATTCATGAATGGGAAGTGGTTTTTAAAAAGGCGTGACTCTTAGTTCTTAATCTAAACTGAGCATGTGAGGTTTTTATTGATCCTTTTTTTATTTATCTTTCATTTAAATGCAATTTAATTTAATACTAAAACTCTGTGTAAGGTCCACTTACCCCATCACAAGACATTCCTCAATTGGTGGTATCCTCAGGAGTACACATAGTTTAGGAACCAAGCTTTTCCGTAAGGATATGATTGTGTCAATGATCACCACTGTCACGAACCAGGAATTTTGCCATTTATGTGGATCCAGTTGCCGTGCATTAACAGTACGGTAGTTCACTTGGATCTAGTCCCATTTCAAAGAGGACTAAATCAAAATGAGCTAACAGACTGTTAATGCGCAGCAACGCGGTCCACAAGGTTACCATGACCTGAGCATGACATTATTTATTTTCCTGTCACAGTGCCAGGAATTATGCATGATTTTACCATGGCATAATTGTATTCATACTTACCAGTAAGTTGTGTTTGGAGCCAGCAGAGGGAGCTTGCACATCACGTTTCTTGGTCTGTGCCATAAAACCTCATATTTAGCTTCTCAGTGGGATTTCTGTATTTAAAGTAACAAAGCCCTATATTAGATGTAGATAGTGACGATGACCTGCATGTAAAGTGCAGTTATATAATGAGTGTTTGTTTGTCTATGCATGCTTTCCATGTCAGACTTCCTCAGTTTACAAGCGCAAAGGTGGTTTTACTATCACTGAAGCCTCATTTTGATCTCAGACCTCATCTTGACTCTCAATCCATCTTGTAAAGTCAATGGGCCTTATTCTGATCTCACTGTCACAGGTGTAAGTCTGATGTCATTGCTTCAGTCAATGAAATCTCACCTGTGTGAGATCAGAATCAAGCCCTATTTCTTGGGATGTTTTTTATTTGTAAGCAACACTTTTTATATAAGTGCCCAGGAGTTAGTGAAGTGCTCTTTTATTTCTGGTAATAAATCATTTAAAGACAATCAGATAAAATAATTGTTGGCCAAGTCCTGATTATTCTATTAATGCACAAAAAGAGCTAGAATAAGGACAGATCAACATCTACCACCAAACATCATAAAACAAATCCACAGATGGCAAATAAGACACACACACCCCTCAGCCCTTCTCCAAAGCCTTGAAAACATGGGTGTTGCAGAATGCCCAAAAGGCTGTCACAAAGCTGGGCCCTGTTGGACTAAACGAGGGGGAGAAGGGGGAACAAGGGCTGAAGTTAGGTCTCTGAATACACCTGCTGTGAGGTAAACGGCTACTTTACATTGTCACCTTTCTGACATTAAATGCGCTTTCATTGGAGAGAGACATGCATCTTGTGCATTCCTAATCTGCAATAAGATTTTTATCTATAATCCCAATGGATGTTTTCAAGGTGGTATTTGATTCCTTGCACTTAAAATAGGAAAAATAGACATGCTGGTGGCTGGAGCTGGTACAGGAGGCACCATTACTGGCATTGCAAGAAAGCTGAAAGAGAAATGCCCAGATTGCAAAGTAAGTGGCAAACTAAAGCATCTTAGTAACTATTTCTAGCTTAAGTGACTTGCAAAGTTCCTTGTGGGAATAAATCCCATTTTTCTCATCTTTGTTGGGGTGCTTTAATCCTTACCTGGGACACATCTGCTTGTTCTGAGCTGGGTGGTAGTTTTGAGCTGTTCACAAAAAGCATAGGAAGCTACCGCATTCTCTTTTCACGTGTGACCCAAGTCAGAGTTTGATCCTGAAAATTAAACCACAAATTCCGTATGGCCCATATTGAAAAATGTTGTTCTCCCTACTGTGTATATTCTGGACACCTGTTTGTATCCAAAAGATGTTTGCACTTTCTGTTCACTGACTTTACAAGGGGTAATTCTCTGGGATCACTGAATTTCTGGCCAAATGAAACTTGCCCCAAGACATGCAAATCTGTGTGTCCCTCAATAGGCACATATTGTTCCTGTCTGTTACCTTATGACTCTCGGTGGCTGCTTTCCATTTTCCGATGGAAACAGGACACTAGCTTTTAACAGTAGTGCCTTGTTACACTGAGAAGACTTTCTGCTTGCTCCTGGTACAAAATGGTAGAGAGCTGACTTCTGAGTGGGATCAGGGCAAACACCTTCCATTTAGCTAAACAAAATCTGCGTAGAATGAGCTGTGCCTTTCCCCTACAATGTCTCACACCCTGACCAAGTAGGATGAGTTGCTATGGGGTAGGAGCAACAAGGCAGTTTGCAGAAGGCAACTTGCAGAAGGACAGATTGGAAAAAAAGACTTATTTCAATGACTACGGCCTGTATGTGCATGGCCGGCATGACCGTTTTGTGAGGTAACAGTCCTAACATAACACTTTGATTTAATGGCTATGTGTTGAAAAAACAAGTGCAACGGTAGCCAAATCTGAAATCCCCTTCTCCAGATTATTGGCGTCGATCCCCAGGGCTCCATTCTTGCTCAGCCTGAAGAACTGAATAAGACTGACAAGACAACATATGAGGTGGAGGGGATTGGATATGATTTTGTCCCTACAGTGCTGGACAGATCGGTAAGTCAAGCTCCTCAATTAACCACTCCTTGCCTTCCACTCTGAGGGGGGCGGGAAAGAAGTTGGAAATAGCATGGCAGCTACTGTGAGGCACCCAGAGTGTGTTTCTTTGAGATTAGAGGGGTTAGGAAGCACAACGAAAGCCTCTTCCCACTGTATCCCAGCAGGTAAAGCAGCCCCAGGTGAACGTCTGAGCTGGACACATTTCTCTCGCTCTTTCATAACACTGTGTGAAAGCATGCTGTGCAGATAGCTCTTCCCCTGAACAATCCCTTTAAATAAAACCAAAAAAACCCCCAGCCCACAACTTGATCTCTAGTTCAGTGACATCAGGTGCGAGGTAGGACTCGCTTTCCTGGCGAGTCAGCTGGGAAGAGAGGAGAATGACCAGTTCTCCGTGTAGCTTTTCCCACAGTCACCTTATTTAAAAGACAAAGTACTTTCTACTAGTATAGGGAACGTCACGAATACCACAGCAGTGTGTGTTAGGCAAAAAAAAGCAGTTGCGGGATGTGAATGCAATTGTAAGTCTATAATTTGAAACCGCTGAACAGCATCTCCTGAAAGGGGGATACGATCAGCTATGTCTTTTGTCTCCTTTCCCCTGCACTCTTTTAGGTGGTGGACAAGTGGTACAAGAGCAATGATGAGGAGTCTTTTTCTTTGGCACGCATGTTAATCAGAGAGGAAGGATTATTGTGCGGTAAGAGCTGGTACTAATCCTCCAAAGTTTCCTGTGAATTAGATTGCGGCATTGTGCAAATCACTTAACTTGTCAAAGGGAAACCTTGTCGGCGTTGGGATTAGAGCTCCAGAGTTCTTTTCTCCACCCCTGAGCTCAACCCACCTTTCTCTGATCTTCTCCTCCTGTTTCACAAGTGGCTTCCACGTGCAGTGGTCTTGACTGTGTGATCTGGGTGTTGACAGGTGGCAGCTCTGGCAGTGCAATGTCCATTGCTGTGAAGGCTGCCAAGGATTTGACAGAAGATCAGCGCTGTGTTGTCATCTTGCCCGACTCCGTCAGGAACTACATGTAAGAAATTGCCCCGTTCTCTTTCTGCTTCGTGCCTGCTGCCTTCACGGAAGGTGAGGCATTCATACCAAGTTTAGACAAGCTTTTCCACAGTGTCTAGTGGTTTTTGGTTCCCAACTTGAGGACTCCGGCAGGAGCCTGGTTTACAGAAGGTGGGAACTCAGCGAAAATAAAGCCCCTTTATGGTATCTCAGGTTTGGGCATCCAGAAGTCACTGGTCACTTTGGCAAAATTCGAGTCCTGAATTTCTTTAACCATTTTAATTGGGATCTCTTCTGGGACTTTTCAAGGAATGGTTGTCCTCTACTCTCTGCCTTGTGCTATGAATTGAAGAGAATACTATTGTAATAACAGCTTATGCCGGGGGGGTGGGGGGGGAATACAGTGTTACACTTGCTCTAAGTCCTGTGGCTAAATTCACCTGACCCCACACTTAAAATACAGCTTTACTCTGCGACACTGTTCAGTTCCCCATTGTGCAGCGTGGGAGCACAAAACTGTAAATGTATTTAATTTAATACCTTCCAGCACTTCTCCTCCATTACAAGCGGTCTCATTATATAGTTGTGCCATTTCCTTTCTTTTTTTTACAAATATTCTACCCACATATCCCTTCGCCATAAAGACTGGCTGAGTGCTATTATGTGTTTGTAATTATACCGCTATCTGTGCTGGGGGTACAATAGGGGATGTAACTATATGCCATTGTATGTACTACCAACACAAGTGTAACCTGCGGGGGAGCTCATGACCTCTTTGCTTTCTTGATGGTTTCCAGGTCCAAGTTTTTGAATGACAAATGGATGACCCAGAAAGGGTTCACGAAAGAAGAAGATGACCTCGTTAAGAAACCTTGGTAAGGCAGTCATGTTCATTTGAGTTTTGTGAGCTGGTTGCAATGGGGTGGGCCACTTGAAATTTCTCTGTAGCTTGCAATGTTTCCTTGTCTGTTTGAATTGATCCTCTGTACATTTGGGGATACGGTGAAGCCCACTTAAATCAGTAGAAATCTCTTGAGTTATTCACTTTGAGAAAGATTTGATACTTTTGCCTCGGTGACAACTGCAATTCTTAAATGAATGAAAACTTTTTAAACTCTTCCCCCAGCCCAGTTATTCATGATGTTTTAACGCCTCATTGATGTTTATGGCATCATCTACTATTAATTAGGCAGGTTGAGATGCATATATGCTTTTTGGGCGCAAGGAACTGTCTTTTTCGTTGTTTGTGCAGCGCCCAGCACAATGGGGCCCTGGTCCATGACTAGCACTCCTAGGCACTGTAGTAACATAAATAATAATCCTTTTGTCAAGTACAGTGAAATGGACATTGTCAACTTGACATCTAGTCAGTATCAAAACAGTTAAAAGAAGTTTGGGGGGTACTTAACTGCCCTCAGGCCCCTGCTAGTCTTTATGGTTTTACAGTCCCTCTTTCCATCTTTAAACAAATCCCTGCCTGTCTCTCCTGTTGCTGCTGGAGGACCCCCACGCAAACAGGAGGGGAAAAGTTTGCTAACAGTCTGTACAGAGATCACTGACCGGACCCAGAGTGAGCAAATTGGAAAAATACCTTCTAATGTCTTTATTGGTATTGTGGTAATGCCCAGAAGCCCCAGGTAGGATTTGGACTCTGCTGTACTACATGCTGTACTAACAGAATAAGAGACACTCCCTGCTCCAAAGAGCTTAGTTTTTACAATTATTTAGATGGTTAGCAGTTTGGGGCAGGGACTGACTGTCTCTTATTATGTGTCAGTACAGTGCCGTAGGGCTCTGACCTTGGCTGGGGCCTCTTGACATGACGTATGACAACTAACGGATGTTTAGTTTTGAGCCAAGATGCAAACCGTGGTTGTACCAGACAGTTGGATGAAATGGAGGCTGAGGGTAATGCTGATAGGAGCACATGGCTCCACAAACTATCTAAGTGTCTCACTAAATGGCTTCAAGTCCATTAAAATGTTCTTTTCCCTTTTTTGTACATCAAGATGTAAATGACCAACTGGAGGTATCCGTAATTTCTGTTGGCCATCTGCCATGCAAGGATAGGAATCAAATAAGATGGAAAAGGGACATGGTTGTAATTATTTCCCTTACTGAGTCCTGAAGACCCAAGTGAGCCTTTCTGCTTGTAGTGAGGGGAAATCCTGTAAGGTATCTTAGGGCATGGCAATTTCAGAATGATCAGACGAGTTGCTGTAAAACCTATGTGTTTTGTCAACAGGTGGTGGCACCTCAAAGTTCAGGAATTAAGTCTCTCTGCTCCCCTGACAGTGCTTCCAGGTGTCACCTGTGAAAAGACCATTGAAATCCTCCGAGAGAAGGGATTTGACCAGGCACCAGTTGTTGATGATTGTGGGTATGTTCAGATATCAATATCTTCCTCCCTTCCCTCCCCCTCCAAAACAAATCTGTAAGTCAAGTTTCTATTTCTTATTTACTGTTTACACACAGTAAATGAGAAGTGTGCCTTCTGTCACTTAATTCTCCAGTATCTCCTGCAGGGTCAGCAAGAGGTCAGAAATGTCCTATTACATACCACACAGCTTTCAGATTTAAAATGCTGTCCTGTCAGGGCTACCCTGCTCTTGGTCTCATAGGTCTCTAGCTACCATGACCTGATATTTGAAATGTCTCTGTCTATAATGAAGAAATCCCTATATTTTTGTCTGGGGGGGTCGCTGTGGACTCCTGGTAAGGAATAGATCAAAGTGAAACCTCTCATTTAATAAACCTGAGGGTGAACCACCACCTCTGCATGGTTGGGTGTTCTCCACAGATTCTTCATGGCATTTCGCTGCAGTGAAAACTGGAAAGTGGTCGCTAACCTGGGCCTAAAGAAATGTTTTAAATCTCAAACTTTGTGGCCAATGTCTAACATCTTCTTTCACTCAGCCTCCATGGTGAGCGTGCTGAATGGTAGAAAGCTGAATGCTGATCTTTAGTGGTGACCTTAGCCTTGTCTCAGGTTTCTTATGGAGGCCAGCAAAGACTATTTAGATCTGCAAGTTCATTTAAACTACACGCAATCATGGTCAGACAACTGAGTGATTGGATAGACAGTAGCGGAAACCACTAGTTCACCAAAATCTTCTATTACTAGGTAGGAGCTCTGAGTCCTTGCCACAGTGTCCATCAGCCTCGTCATTTGGAATCCCTCTGAATTTAGCATGTGCCAGCACACTCCATAGTTCAGTGGGAAGGACCCATAACTATTAGGCCCACTTTCGTTTTGGCTCTGGAGTTGAGCACAGCCAGGTAGGAGGGAGGTCAGTAAAATGGCTAATTATAGCAAAACTAGGGAAAACTCCCATTTTAAATGTAATCCACAGCCAGGACATTCCCATCCAAACCTAAGACTTTCCCAGAAAACTGGCATGTCTGATCACCCAAGCAGAGTTCACTTGGGGGGTATCTACACAGCAGAGAACCTCCCAGCCCAGGTCGACAGATTTGGTCTTGTGCTACCACACTAAAAATAGCTGTGTAGACGCTGGAGTTTAGGCTCTGAAGCCCACCCTCTTCCCTAAACTTCAGAGCCCGAGCTGCAGCGTCCTCACAGCTATTTTTTACTGCAGGAGCACACGCCTAAGTCTGTGGACCTGGGCTCGAAGTAGGCTGCCACTCACTGGCGGGGGGGGGGCGGAGGTAGAGGTTTCAGAACCCAGGCTGTAGCCCCAGCAGGAATATCTGCACTGCTATTCCTAGCCCCACAAGCCTGAGTCAATTGATCCAGGCTCAGAGCTGTTGGTTTTTCTTTGCTGTGTAGACATACCCTCAGAATCTGAGAACACCTCTGAAAATGGTGGTCTACACCGTTAAACTGACTTTTGGGCATCCCTCTGAGGAAAGCCTGCTGAGAGTGCAGTTCACTTGTCTCTAGAAAACCCTGAGTGTCTGACGTTGTTTGACCATGTCTCCTCTTTTCAGTGTGATTTTGGGAATGGTTACCCTTGGGAACATGCTTTCATCATTACTTGCTGGGAAAGTTCAGCCATCAGATCATGTCAGCAAAGTAATCTACAAGCAATTCAGACAGGTAAACCTGCTCTATATCTACTTCTTTACTTTTCAAGTATTATTGTAGGTATCCGAGCATTACAGTGGCATAGGCTAGAGTAAGGTTTGAAGTGAGGCCATACAGAATCTTCTCTTTGAGAATGTGCCACTATGCATGCAGACCTGGGCTTGGATCTCATTTTAGACTCTAAACTCAGCCTGAGGTTATTGAAAGGCTCCCAGACTTGAGTTGGTTTATGGTGCTGCATCAGACCATTGAACTCTTGTGGGTTTGATAGGGACTTTTTTTCTTGTCATTGGGGTTTCTTTTTATGTTCTCTTCTCTCCTCCCCCCCCCCCCCCAACCTGAATGTAAAACTGAGTAGTGTGAGCCTCCATGGGAAGAAATAATTGAACTTCCAACAGCTCTTTTGTGTAAATTCCAATGGCAGTTGAAACCAGCAAGTGCTCGCTTTGCAACAAAGACTGGAATTGTCACAAGCTGGTGACTGATTAGTTCTGACTGCCATCAAAGTGCATGAAGCATTATGCCAAGCAAGTCTACCTGGCAGTCAGCTGTGCCATATTTATCATACAGTAAATGGGTATAATGGTACTGAGCTCCTGTGTAAAGGGATTGGAGATGTACTGATGATAAGCACTACAAGAGCTAGGTGATGTTCTCATTAATCGGGAAGCTTATGACACTCAAAATAAATAGTAGGATATTATGTTTTAGTGAAAGGCCCTCCTTCGTATGGAAGGATTGGGACATAGCTTTCTTCAGGCTTTAGATTCAATATTACATTTAGTAGTAAATAATTAAGTTCATAATGGAGCTTAATTATTAATATTTAAAATTCTAGGGAGGGAACTGTATTCAACTATATCTAATTATTATATTCTTATGTATAATCTACTGGCTGCTTATTTTATAGCTTGGGAAAAGGAGGAGCTGCTAGTGCTTTATAGACAAAATTTAAAGAAAAATATTTTTTTCTCCCTAGACATCAAATCAAACATCAGGTGAAACTCTGGTGTGTAACAAAACTGTTTAGTCCCTGTCGTCCCTCGCTTGCTCGTGCCTGTATCGTGTATTCATTGTTGTATCTGTAATAGTCAGTTCTTTGTGCCTCTCCTCCCATTTTCTCCTGAAAATGAGCATCCCTCTTTTCCCCAGCTCCATCCCCTGGTATCTGCCACTGCTAATGTGCTGGCAAAAATACAGTTCTCTGTTTTTAAAAAAAATCTGAATTGCTATTATTATTAATTGTCTTACTGTAGTACCTAGGTGCCCTAGTTGTGAACCAGAACCCCATTGTGCTAGGTGCTCTACAGCCACAGAACAAAAATAGATTGCCAGCTCCTTGGGGCGGGGACTAAGTACACCTCTACCTCGATATAATGCTGTCCTCGGGAGCCAAAAAATCTTACCGTGTTATAGGTGAAACCGCATTATATCGAACTTGCTTAGATCCGCCGGAGTGCGCAGTCCCGCCTTCCCGCCCCCACCCCTCCCCCCCCTTCCCCCGGAGCACTGCTTTATTGCGTTATATCTGAATTCGTGTTATATCGGGTCACGTTATATCGGGGTAGAGGTGTATATAAAAGAAAAACACAAGAATCCTAGATGTTTGCTTTTTTTTTATTTTCAAACTAATTTGGAATCTGTGCCAGTGAAATTGGGAAAAATTTAAGAGTCCTCATTGTCCCAAAGATGATGTCAAGTATTGTTTGAAGGAATAGATCTTTGTTAAGGCACGCTTAAAATAAAATGGATAGGTTTGGTATGACTGGAAGGTAAAGCAATCCTAGTGAAATAAAGAAACCCCTCTCAAGTATGGCAGTCACAATAATTTTCTTACCAACTGGTCACCTTACATTTGAAGAAGAAGAAGAATTACTTTTTTGATTTAAAATGACCAGATATGCATTTACTCTCCTGAAGCCATGAAACATTACAGTCACAAAATAACCTATTCAAAAACAGGTACTGCAGATTACCGAATAGAGAGGATGGGCCATCCTTGTGAGAAAGGCACGAGACTGAGAGTCATGGAATCTGAGTGGTGGTGGTGGGATTAACAGCACGTCCCAAAGTATGCTGGGCATTATGCAGGTGTATAGGAAAAAACAGCTGCCTTGAAGAGGAGGTGGTGAAGGCTAGGACTATAACAGCATTTAAAAGAGAACTGGATAAATTCATGGTGGTTAAGTCCATTAATGGCTGTTGGCCAGGATGGGTAAGGAATGGTGTCCCTAGCCTCTGTTTGTCAGAGGATGGAGATGGATGGCAGGAGAGAGATCACTTGATCATTGCCTGTTGGTCCACTCCCTCTGGGGCACCTGGCATTGGCCACTGTCGGCAGACAGGATACTGGGCTAGATGGACCTTTGGTCTGACCCGGTATGGCCGTTCTTATGTTCTTATTTACTTTGAGGTCAATCAGAAAATTTTGTTTGGATTTTGACTTTAAGATTTTTATATTTTTAATTTAATTTTTTATCTTATCACTGACATTTTGGAATATGTCAAAACAAAGTCCATTGAGAAATAAAGAAATCAAAATGTTTCGCTTAGTTTTTTTTCAAAATGAAACTTTGTCAAAATTGACACATTCTCCCTGTCCCACCTTCCATTTAGCTGTGACATTCTGTGCATGTTTCCAAGACCTGAAGAAGAGCTCTGTGTAAGCTTGAAAGCTTGTCTCTCTCACCAACAGAATTTGGTCCAATAAAAGATATTACCTCACCCACCTTGTTGAATTGGCATTTTCTGATGAAAAAATGGCCCATCAGAAAATTTTCAACCAGCTCTGCAGCTCATGTTTAGAAAACAATGCCCCCCCACCCGTATGTTAGCTAATCAGATGATATGAAACATGTCTCAACATTCCATCTCCCAGTGAACACATCAGCTGCATCTTGCCTCTGTTAGCCAGAGGATAGAGTTTCTACCAGTTGGTAAGAAAACTTTGAGCCTGATCCTATACGTGGTAGTTTCATTGACATCAGAAGGAGTTTTGCCTCCGTACAGAATTGGGCAAAACGCATGCCATCACATCTAACCCTTCCAGTCTTAGGGAGTCTTGAAGGTGTAATTTAAAAGATAATGGTGGGGAATAAACGAAACCAAATTCTGAAAGTTTCCCAGGATTTCCATTATGAATAACAAATACTTTTAAATTGAAGCCTGCATTGTAGTTGCAAATTGTACACTCTAGTGGTGGCTCGTCCTAGCTTGCCGTTGCTTTAACAGTCATTGTATATATATGTATTTGTGACACACATCAGTGTTTACCAATCTATGTGCAAAGCCAGGGACTAAGAAAAAGTAGGTGATTTATATAGATTTAGCCTTAAACGATTGCAGTTAGACTTGGGAAAGTCTGTGTGTTAAACTGCAATGTTTAAAGTCAGTGTGCTGCAGATAAAATATATGTCATAAAGAAAGGAAAACTCGAACCCACGTGAAGGTGGAAGACACACAGTCTGCCTCGAGCCTTACTGAGTCAAGCCCTGGCTTGCGGCACAGTAACTTTCCATGTAGATAATCCCTCAGAGTCGTATCCTGCTCTTGATCCACATCCAAAAGTCCCACACTGGTTGCATAGATGAAGTGCAATATAATTTCTTTAATCCCTTGGGCCAATCTCAGTACAGTGATAACAGGTGTGGTTATCTTTCCTTGGGGTAGAACCCACGTAGTATCTGATACACCCTTTGTTGGCAGACTCTGTCCTGTATGTGCAGAAGAAGGAACTCAAAGATCTGACCAGCCTTTTCCAGGTCTTAATTCAGTTGTCCTCTCCCATAATAGCTTGGGTGGAGTTGTTTGGTCTCCGCATTTTTTTTTTTTTTTTATGTAAATGATAGCTTGGATCCTCAAAGGTATTTGGGCACCTAACTCCTATTGATTTTCAGTGCAAATTTAGGAGCCTAAATATCTTTGAGGATCTGGGCTGTTGTCAATTTACAAGCACACACAAAAAGTACAGTAAATAAAGACTTTGTGAAGTCAGTCTGTCCTGTTTCTCTCCTCTCCCCTCCCCCCTCACCCCCTCCACCTTTTAAAAAAAGCAAAACATGGTGTAAATCTCCTCTAGTTCACAGGATAGGAGCCCAAGCTCCATTTTCCAGTTCTGGCCATATTACTTACAGGAGAGGATTTATATCCCAGTCCAACACTGAGCTCCTTGCAGGATAAAGGCTGTACTCTATACAAGGCAAGTTCATCTGTGGTGTAACTTCACAGAAGTGTCCTTAAAAAGACACAGCTGATAGCCTGTATTACTTTTCGGATGGAAAATCACCCAGCTAATATACCAGATTTGTCTTCAAATTGATGGGAGCACATTGATGATACCAAAACATGATTGTTCATGGAATGCAATTTTGTGCTTTCTTTTAAATACCCAGCAAATGAGATCAGCCTGTAGGGCCAAATTTTTAAATGTATTGGGCACTTAACTCCCATGGGAATTAGGTGGCTAAATACCTTTCAAAAATCTGGTCTTTAGTGCTTTAATATTCTGCGTTGCTAAAGAAAAACCTTACAATAGTTTAAGCAGGTTCATTAAATTCTTGATTCTGAGTTCTTTGTTTGTTGCTTCTGAGTAATATGTTAGCTCGGGTTTGGTTTTTTCTTTTTTTTTTTCCTTTTTTTTTTTTTATGGCTTTTCTCACTGCTACCCTCCCCAAAACATCCTTTTTCCAAATCAACTTGCAGTCTGATTTCCCACCCCCTCACGTCCATTCCCTCCGGAGTTGTACAGGTGAGTATATTCTTATGTTTACATAGCAACATTCTTTCATTAGACACATGGAACACTGATTTTTATCTGTTTTTTTTAAATCTCTCCTGTCTTTATTTTTTGTGTACGTGTGTCAAAATGAAAATTTCAGGTGCTACTTCCCCTTAATTTTTTTCTTTTCTTCTTTTCTTTTTGTCCAGCTTTTTTCCCAAAAACCACAGCCCTTAACAAACCCCAAGAACTCAGTGGGACGTGGATTCATTAAGTAGTAGTTGTACTGTACAGCACTTTGAACATGAACAACGCTATACAAGTGCTAATTTATTATAATTTTAACGGTCTCTAGGATGGTAGGGGTGAGGGCTGTTGAACTTTTATGTTATTACAGGACACTTTGCTTTTAAGTTTGGTAACTTTCTCTCTTTAGATTCATCTGAAAGACAGCTTGGGGAAACTTTCTCATATCCTGGAAATAGACCACTTTGCTCTAGTTGTACATGAACAGATTCAGTGTGAGTATAACATAACACTCCTTGTAAAAGATAGTGTATAGGGTGTGTGTGTGTATATAAATAGTACCAAATGACACCGTGAGCTGTTATGTATGAGGCATTAGATATTGTGTGGTAAGAGTTGGGTAAACCAAAGGCCTCAACCACCTTACCCATGTAGGTATTCCTGTATAAGCCCATTACTAACACTGGACCACGAGAATGATGAAATGATTAGAAACGTTCTTTATAGTGAGACTCAAGAAGCTCAGTCATCTTAGCTTAAGAAAGAGTAAGTTAAGGGGTGACTTGATCACAATCTATAAGTATCCACATGGGGAACAGAAATTAGATAAGAGGGTTCTTCCAACTAGTAGACAAAGGTATAACAAGTTCCAGTAGTTGGAAGTTGAAGCTAGACAAATTCAGACTAGAAAAAAGTGCACATTTATAACAGGGAGGGTAATTAACTGTTGGACAAACTTACCAAGAGTTGTGGTAGAATTCACGTCACTGGAAATTCTTAAATCAAGAGTGGATGTTTTCCTAGAACATTGTTCTAGTTCAAACAGGAATTAATTCAAGGAAGTCCTGTGGCCTGTGTTATTCAGGAGGTTAGACTACATCGGGGTAGGCAACCTATGTCACACGTGCCAAAGGCAAGCTGATTTTCAGTGGCACTCACACTGCCCAGGTCCTGGCCACCGGTCCGGGGAACTCCTGCATTTTAATTTAATTAAATGAAGCTTCTTAAATATTTTAAAACCCTTATTTACTTTACATACAATAGTTTAGATATATATTATAGACTTATAGAAAGAGACCTTCTAAACGTTCAAATGTATTACTGGCACGATAAAGCTTAAATCAGAGTGAATAAATGAAGACTTGGCACACCACTTCTGAAAGGTTGCCGATCCCTGGACTACATGATCACAATGGTCCCTTCTGGCTTTATAGTCTAAGAATCTATGAGCATTGTGACAATGCACCACTTTGTATTGAGAAAATGATTGACGTCTAGCTTTTTTTGTGGGTGCCTAAAGTTGTGTAGAACACCGCATAGCATCAGTCATTTAAATTGTTCTTTCCATTGTGCATTACCTTGCATTTTTCTATACAGAATTTCACCTGTTGGTGTGTTACCCATTTGTTTGTTTTGTTAGGTCCCTCTGAAGTGACTTACAAGCCCCTCTAGACTTCACTAACCTAAACAGTTGTCTTTTGCAAATGTTGCCTCTTCACTGCTCACCCCATTTCCAGATCATTCAAATAATGCTAAGTACTAAGTCTCCTAGTACAGCAATGTGAGGCACTTACACTGCTAACATCTTCCATGTTGAAAACACAATTTATTCCAAACTTTTATCTCTCAGCTAGTTCCTAATCCATGACAGAAATTTACCTCTCTTCCCATGACTATTTAGTTTCCTTTGCAACCTCTGAGTAAATTTAGCAAAGGGTTTCATTTCAGTAATTCCTAGAGTGCTGTCAATAAGAATGGCAGCTCACCTCCATCTGAATGTACAATCGGTTGGGTAGGTTGGCTTCTTAACCATACCTGCGGGCCTCTGGTATTTTGGAGTCATAGTTGGCTTCTAGTTTTAGAAAGCAGTAGTATAAAAATTGAGTGTGTATTTGGTTTGAGCCTGCAAAGGTAGGAAAAATTTTCTTGTTTTTTTCTGTAGATCACAGTGACGGCTCCTCCAGTAAGAGACAGATGGTGTTTGGCGTTGTTACAGCCATTGACTTGCTTAACTTTGTGACTGCACGGGAGTGGGAAAGAAGGGCCACCTAAGTTCAAGGACCACTCAAGTTCAAGGACCACTCTGCAACATCTTCCGTGGCATTTTGCAGTCTCTAGAAAGAATCAGGTCTCTCTCTCTCTCTCTCTCTCTCTCCCTTTGCTAGAATGTTCTGTCTCCTGTTTTGTTTTCAACATTCTAAAAATAAACACAGTTGGGATCATCCTGACTGCTGTGATGTAACAGCACATCTAAACGTTGCAGAGCTTTTCGGGATCGTTAGCTCTCAATCTCCTGTAATTGGTTGATCTGCATAGAATTTATATAAAAAACAAATATTAGACCGTACTGATTGTGCTTAAAGTCTAAAACACTGTTAACACGTAATTGAAGGTAACAAACTGAACAGCCACAGCCAAGCTGAGGCGAGAGCAATCTAGGAAGACTGCCTATGAGACTGTGTGTGTTGCTCATTGACATAGAATAAGTCCAAGACACTGGATTTGGTGACAATATGGGTATGCCTTCCCTAGTAAAACATTTGTGTATCTTTTCACAGTGAGATCGTTAACTTGAAACAGGGTTGAGGTAAATCCTGGACTCCAGCTATAGGGTTTACCTCCAGCAGCTGTTTTGAGTCCGAGCTATCACTTGCCTTGTCTTGACTGAAATATTGCAATAAGGTAGCTAACACAAGAGAGTCGTCTTACTGTAAAAGACACACCTTTTTCTTAGTGAATACACAGCTTATATCATTTATTTTTACCTGGCTGAATACCCACATGCGTAAACAACAAATCAAAATCAGATCAAGCTCTCTAAAGAGCGAATTCTTACTGGTTATGGCGTGTTTCATGCACAACAAGAAGGCAGCACATTTCCCCTGAAAACTTTTATCTAAGACTGACCTCCTACCTCTAACTGAAGTTCTTATGCCTACACTTAGGTCATATAATGTAATTCTCTCCAGTCAGGAGCAAGGGGAGGCCCTGTAAGATCCTTTCATCGCAGCCCCCTGGCTCCTCAAGTGCTTCTGAACTCTAGATGTCACTGCAGGGAAGAAACATGTGTTTATGTTTTGTTATACATCGCAGAAGCTCATCTAGGACAAAATCCTGCCCTTCGTTAGATGTATGTAACTGGACTACAGGCAATAGGGCTGCATAGGTATATGAGGGCAGAATTTGGCCCATAATATTTAATGAGTGTACTGAATACACTGTGACCAAACTTACCAGTGACCCACTGCAATGGCATTGTCTGAGCCAGTCAGAGTGGAGGGGATGCTGTGCAGTTAGCTAGGTGTAACTATGGATTTCTTTTAGCTACAGAAGTTTCTGGAGTCTCATTTGTGTCTGACTTGCATTAGTTTAGTGTTGCCCTTTCTCAAACTGTTCAGTCCACCTAACCTTGTACTCTGGTTAATAGTGGCTCTCAGCCACTCTGCAGTGGTTTACATAATAACTCTACAGTGATTGGGGGGGGGGGGGGGAATCTATTTCCTATCTCTATTATGACTGCTGTGATCCTCCTCTGATTGATAGGTTATTTGCCACAATAAACCTCTCTGCCAGCACAGAGATGCTTTCTCAGCTTCTCACTCCCTTTAGCTGAAGCAGAAAAATTCCAGTTTACACAAAAAGCCAGACAAAAACTCCCAAGAATCTGCAGCTGTCAATCAACTAAAAGAGGAATTATATATATATATACACACACACACACACACACTCTCTCTCTCTCTCTCTCTCTCTCTCTCTCTCTCTCTATAAAAAACCCCACCCATCTGTATTTTCATTTCCCTCCTTCCTTCAATCTCTGCAGGTCTCTTAGCCCCACAAATGCTGTCACATTTGCTTTACAATTTGAAAATCTGCAGCCCCTCCCTCCCAATTCAGTTTTCAACACAAACTGTAAACAAAAGTATGTTATTCTGGGGTCAGCAGCCTTGCTGGTGTGGAGAAGAGGGAAATGAATGTGTGATGAGAGGTGTGGTTGACTCCAGAACTCCATGTATGTAGTATAGTTGCAGCCATGTTGGTCCCAGGATATTAGATAGACAAGGTGGTGAGGTAATATCTTGTATTGGACTAACTTCTGTTGATGAGAGAGACAAGCTTTTGAGCCACACAGACCTTCATGTAGCTTGAAAGCTTCTGGTCCAATAAAAGACACCACCTCTCTCACCTTGTCTCTCTAGAATTCCAGGTAATTCAATTGCTCCTGTTTAACAGACTTAATCTAATTCACACAGTTCACCACTGGGTGCTGTCTTAACCTATAGATTGCAGTACTGAGCTTCATGCAGCAAGTAATACGCACTGGTTTAAATGGCATTAGCCGTTGCAGACTTCATTCAACACTTTCTTACTGTTTAATGTCAACATTTAAGCCACTCTACAGTTATTAAGGGAAGTCTTTTATGTTTTAAAGGGAAAAAATCATTCAATTCAATGTGCTGTATTTATTGCACAAAAGTTCAATGTACATTATAAAGAGTTCAATAAAAGCAACTTGAGTGATTTAAAATGGTTGGGTTTATTTTTAATTTTGCTGTTGGCCATCCAAGTTGAAAGTACCTTTGACTATAGACCTGTTGTGGGAAATTTCCATCAGTCACAAGGCACCACCCAGTTCCAATTAGTTGGCTGTAACATCATCTGCCCTTTTTCATCTCTCTGGAAGGAACTGGGGATATGTGAGGATCCTGGCAGGGAGCCATGTTTTGTCTGCCCTAAGTTTCATAACAGAACACATGCAACAGTAAAGGTGCAAAACTGACACACAGAAAAGGCAAATGCTAAGGTGTTTATTGCAACGTTTACTTACCCACATTGCAAGCCAGTATTGATTACTAATTGGACTGATATTTGCATGCATGAATAAATAGGAACAGTACGGATCAGTTAGCATTGCTATGAGAACTTGGTGTCTTTTTTGGTTGTACAGTAAACTCACAATGTTAATGGTGCATTAACAAAACTTTAGTTTTTAATTTTTTCTTTTTTAAAAAATAAGCTGCCAGGGAAGAGGGGAAATGCTATCTGCATTGTTATGAAACTACTTGTTTGTGTGTGTTGCACAGTTATGTAGTGTCTCAGTTAATTGCTCATCTTAAACCAGAGTAGAAATGGTTTGTTTTGCCATGCACGAAAGTAAATATTTAATCCCCTAGAAAAAATTGTTATAATTTGCATGGCAACAGCTCTTCACTGTGGACTAGCTATATGTGAGGTTTGAAAGCTCAAGTCTTGAAGATCTTCATACACATAGATCTAAATTTTTTTAAAGCAGAGAAATTATATGCGGAATGCCCCCCCAGCCTCCATCAGTAATAGCTGGACAGATTTTTCCTTCAAAACTCCATTTTTGGTATCAATCAGACGATTAGATCGTGTTCTATTTTTTCCCCCTTTCTTTTTGGAATGTTTCAGCGCAATGGGAGAACTTTGCAGGAAAGGAGTGACTATAGCCCACTTATAATAGAAGTCACAGTGTAACATCTGCTCTAACATTTTGTGACAATGTTTTTTTTTAAGTTCGTCTTTTGAGGTGTTGATCAGTGACCCAGTCTAAAAGTCATTCTTGGACAGGAGGTCCTGGATTGCTCAGTGGATGGGTAATAAAACATGAAGACCCCCTGCATACTTCTAGATTACTGGTTGAAATATAGCCCACCTAGGTAGCGATTGCAAATAACTTCCATCAAATATGTTTGGTAGCATATAGAAAATGAATTCTGATCATTTCAGTCCAATATCTATGGACAGGTTTTGCTTGCAAACCCACTATTGCAATGATGCAGCGTTAGTGGTGGCCACAGCAGAGAGGCCAATGGCTAACTGGGCATGGGGAACAGGGCAGTCTTAGCCATAGGCTAAAGCTGTCTGCCTACAGTGCCGCTTCCAGTGGCGCAGCAAAAGAGTGTCTCTGATCACTCCCTTCAGTTCATTCCCAAACTCTTGTTCAGCCTGCAGTTTCTATCCACTTGCTTCTTCACCCCACTCCAAAAAGGGGTTCCTATTTCTGCTCACTTGTGTGCAGCAGTTCCAAAAATGCCCCCAAATCCTTTTGTACGTTTGCTTCTTGAAGCACTATGCAGCTAGAGCGAAGGACTCAAGGGTACCCTTTGGTTCTAAAGGCAGCTGCTGTGGGTGACTGGTCAGAAACAGGGACCCCTTTTGGTAAGAGGAAGTGAAACCGATGGGAGACATGGTGGAAGGGAGGAAGCCTATCTTTGCAAAACAGGCAGGTACGTCTGGGGTTGATAAATGATTGAACCCTCCTCATCCCTAGAGGTGCTCACCCTTAGGACGCTTGTGTGGTATAATCTCTGCTGAACCCCTTCTGTAGATAGAGGACTTTGGTCCACAAAACGACCTTTCCTAAGCAAATTCCCTTTTAGAAAAAAAAGTCCTGTTGCTGGTGGAGGTGCCTGTTTCTATCACATCTGGGTGGCAAAAGCTGACAGTCGCACACAGACACGCTGGGGATGGGCAGGAGCAGCTCAAAAATAAAGGCAGACCCAAAAAAAAAAAATCCACAATATTGTCTTTTTAAAACAACTCAAGATTTTTGGGGTCTGACTCAGGATTTTTGAACCTGTGGGTTTGGCAATGCTGGAATCAGTGAGAAAAATGAGGCAGTCGGCGCTGCTGCCCTCAATTTGGGGGACACAAGGACATGCAGGACACAGGCACAGTTCAATGGTCACAGATTCTGATCTTGCAGGCCTGGGGCACAGGTGCACACAAGCATGCTCCACCTGGACAAAACATCTCGAAGAGTCACCAGGTGAGGTAAGTGACCATTCTTTCTGCCCCTAGTTAAACGAGCGCAAGTGAGGGCTAGTTTTAAAGGCAATAATTACATAAGGAACTCAGTCCTGTTAGTGAATAAACAACATGTAACCCTTCTGCCAGTCAGAGTTGGCAGCAACAAGGGCCGGGTTCAGTATCTAGGGGTTCCTTTTCAATAACACAATGCAAAACGGGCTCAAGCCCCCGCCCAGTGACCTGGGACAATTACACACCACCCCCTGGGTGCCTCTAAGAGGCAATAATTCCCCTCTCCCAAGCGGAGTCTGAGTGTAGCAAAAACTTTTAATAAAACGAGGGGAATAACTCAGCATTAATTTGGGAAAACACCGCAACTAGGTTCATAAACATAAACCCCGAGCAAAAGACCCACCCCCAAGTAAGTTGGGCTGTCCCCTTTTCCCCTCAGGTTCTTAAGTCCAGCAACCCAAAAGTCCCTTTAACATGCCCATCCCTTCTCTGCACCCCACTCACAGTTGCTGTCCTTGGTCAGTACAGCCCCAGACTCCAGAGGTTCATCTG